CTTATAATTCGATGGAGCCGGCTGCACGCACGAAAAAACATGACTCATGCGGCGTTACCTCGCTCTGAGGCGTTCCATTTAAGGCTTGAAGTGCAAGCGAGAGCGCGGAACGAGCGACAAAGAGGCACAATCGGCCTCCGCGTTCGGCAGCGTTCGACATCTGTCTCTCTCCTACTTGAGTGAGCGATGCGTCCGCGTGGACAGCTGCTATACAATAATACATTTCCATTTACCTCCTTCTCTATATCCATACAAAATATCTATCAAACAAATAAAATTAAAATTTTCTTTTGAAAAATGAAACCATTCCATCAGTATTTTCTTATGACGTTGTCACGTTCAACTATCGTCAGTAAACCGACTTTACAGACAACCGATTTTTACTTATAATTAGTGAACCGGGACACTAAAAAGGTTAAAAAACGATAAAAAGATCCAGAAAGAATGAAGAATCTATATGCATATACTTGTCTGACTAAGCTTGGGAATTGATTATGTAACCTCTTTATATGTATATCACGGAAATCATATGTAATTACCTTGTAGGGCAAGTTCTGCCTCCTGATTCCAAATGCTTCGGTCGGCTGGTAAAGGATTTTTTTCTAACCATCGCCCACAAGCCCATGACCAGAGGTCATCGCACGGATACACTGACGAATTTAAAGATTCTCTTATCTGAAAAAAAATGCATTCACTGTAGAACAAAACCCATTCTTATAATGAAATTTGCATTGTTAATAAAAAGTTTATTAAGTATATGATGTTACGTCAAGGACGAGGTATTCTCTTTTTGTAAATAATACCTATATAGGTACATGTTATATACAAACGAAGCGTATCATTTTAATGAATAAATACACGCGTTTCCTCTCTGGATACCTAATAGATGCTTTTTTATTCAAACTAAACATGAATTAAAAAAAGAGATTCAAAACTCTGTACAGATTTTGTGAATAGAAAAAACAATCCCTAAAAACGAAAATATCTATCTTCTCACAAACAAAGAATAAAAATCATTCTGTTCTTCAAGATGGGGCTTCTGCGATTATTGTAGAAATGAATACAGAAGATGTCCCTAAGCAGGTTTCGATGGAATGTATTTCGATTAATGTGGACCGATCTTTTCTTTCAATTTTAAATATATAGGACTCGATTATAAATAATTCAAGCATATGTTGATATAAATTTAATATTTTTCAGTTAAAACATCAATCTTTTCCACTTTTAATCGTAGCTTTATTATATACCACCCGAAAATCCTCAAATTACGTCGGGTGCAATGTGACTACACAAGTAGGCACTTAAACGTGGAATTAGGTGCAGTATTTAATAGCTGTAATTAATTTTCCAGCAATTGTGTAGGGAGAAAATAACTTACAGGTTTTACATCCGCCTTATTCGTTTCCTTATGCAGTAGTAACGCTTGCAGGTAATGTATAATTTATAAAAGTGTATTGTAAATCGATTCTACACAAATAAATGTGTAAATCTACACGCCAAAAATGTCATTACTTTATGGAAATCCATCATTAAAAACAACAACAGTGATGCATGTACTATTTATTTTATGAAATAAGAAATCAAGCTACATATGGGGCAAAGGACTTTATTTATATGAGACCAACAACCCTGAAGATGCCTCACAATTGAGGCGAAACGTAGGTGGTTAGTCTCATATAAATAAAAACCTTCACCAATACGTAGTTTGATTTCGTACTTTATGCAATTGTTGAGGAAGAAATGGCAACTATTTATTTTAATTCTTAGTAATTAGGTACTTCAATTTTTCACTGTTTCTTGTAAAAAATGTAATTTGTAGAACTTTCTTCTTAGATTCACTGCATTTAAGAATAATGCAGAATAACCGCAATGCACTAACGGTACTTGAAAGTAAGCACGTTGTTATGTAAACGTTCCTACATTACATTTATTTATTTGGCTTGTAAGCATCTTGACATTTTGTGCTCGAAGACAGTAAAAGTACTTTGCGGCTGGCAAATTGCATTAGGACTTTTATTTGAAATACTATGCGTTGCATTTACCTAGATATCGCATTATAGCGTGCATCGCATCGTCAGATTTTATGAACAGTAATATACCTACCACGTACTTAGATGGGAAAGTGCATCTAAGCGTAACACTAGAAACTCAATTTAAAGTTTTCAGAATGAAAGCTAAAATACCGTTTTTTAAATTTTTATGAACAAAGACAAATATCTGCCGTTAATTATGTTATTATTTTATATTTTAAATATTCCGTGAAAATTCATTTCTAATTTTTGTTTTTCCCTCGCCGGGAATCGAACCCGGTACCCTTGAATTTACACACCAATATTTAATATTAACCACTATTGAATTTCAAAGTGTTTCATATAGTATTAACTCCTTTTTATTTATCATTCGATAGACGGTTGATTTTTAATCCTAATAAATATTTCTAGTAAGTGCCAATTACAATTTTGAATTTGAACATAATATAAAGCTATTGAATCTTGCTCCACTTGTGAATCCTTTCAATCAAGTCAGTTCATGCCACACTTTTACCTTAACTAAAAGTAAATGTCACCGCATTTTAAACTTGCCAATTTATTTTTTATTAATTATGGATACGTGTCGATGTGAAGAGTTTGACAAAATAGCTGAGAATATTAGAGCTTGGGTGCCTGGATCTATTCATCTAATACAGAAAATAAAGTGTGGTAAGTAATTGTTCAATATATAATTATAGTAGTCAATGTGTGAATCAGGGAACTGACGATAAGACCAGGGTTGCCATCTGTAAAATCAACAAATCGGGATAAGGCAAGAAGCTTAAAAAGCCGTGAATTTATTCTGAAACTAATATAAGAGCGACTCCGACAGACAATTATATTTCAAACGGTTACGTGATGGATCATATGATTCCTTAATTATAAATTTTTTAATAATTTTATTTGAATAAGCAGCACCCTGACCTAGGCCTATGACCCGATGCAGCGGGCAGATAGCACAAGTAATTTTAAAACCTGGAAGGTATAATAGTAAAAACCGCCAGGACGCTCCTTGAACGCCATCCAGACTAACATTAATAGAAATCCAGGAAATCTCGGATAGATAACATTCTTAGAAGTGTCTCCAAATTTCAACTCATTCTTCAGACGCCAAATTTGAGTTGTTCGTATAACAAAAATTATTTACACCATCTTTTTCAATTCTCCAAAGCAAGAAAAGGAACATTATAATGAAAAGTTTAAAATAAAAGAAACGAGATGAGGTTAATTACATTCGACATATTTTTCAAACATAAATTCAAATCTGGCTCCAATAGCCGCATCACATTAAAATTTTGGTGATGTACCTTAATCTTAAAACCAAACAAGCTAAATCATCATCACCTGAATTCTGTGGATAAGATATTTCTAAATCGTGATATGTTAGTGGCAGATCTGAGTTCAAATACGAACTCAGCGAAAAACAATTGTTTTTACAAGCTTTTTCATTTTGTAGTACCCGACAATGCAGTATTAAAATGGAAAAAGACTTTCGAGGATCCATTAAGTACTTATCCAGCAGTATCAGAAATTTATAAACCAACAATGTGTTCTGCAACAACCACTCCACATATGTGTCTAGAAACTAAATGGATTCCAGTAGACCCATGTCTCGTTTCGCTAAGGTGAGTTAAAGAACTTACACTTTCAACAAGTTGGGTTAGGTTAGGTTAGGTTTAAATTGATACAAAAGATATTTTTCAAAAGACGGAGAAAACGAATACCTAGAAGGGTTAATTCAAGCTTCCCAAACCGAATATGAAATAAAACTGACGTCATCATCAAAGGGTTGTCAGTCCTAAAACTTATTTCTCGATTACATTACATACCCCGATAATCCCCCGGATTGTGGCCAACATAAACTAAGGAATTTGGCAAAATAAAAACAAATTGTCCTGATTAAATAACTGAAAAAATGTATTTAGAGAATAATAAAAAGTATAAAATAATCGTCGTGTACTTACAGAAGCGGACATAGAAACAATTCCCACATTAACAACAATCAGCGCATGAATAAGGTTTCGTTTACGTTACACTGGAGTAACGGAATACTGCAATACCACTGGTGGTACAATTGAAACCATTATTTATTATTAATGTGCATATTGCTTTTAAACATATGAGAAAATAGTCACAAGAAAGCAATGTCTATTGAATAATCGTAAACTGAAATTTATTGACGTAGTAAATTATTTCTATTAACCATTTTTAATACCTACGATTTTCACGATTTTTCCGGGATATATGCTTCATAAGTGCAGCATTTTTAAAACAAACAACGAAACTTTCTTCTACATTTTGTAACAGTAGATGAAATTCCCTGCGACATGCCAGAGTAAAAGCAGCGGTAATTAGTTCATTCGTCCGGCTTCAGTTGAAATTAAAAAAGAGACCCGCTCTAATCACTACACTAAGTAGTGGTAATTAGGACGAGTTTCTTTTAGTTTATTTATTCCATCAGTGTCTATTTTCTACAAAAACGGTTTTTACGAGAAAGTATTTTAATTTCAAGTTCTGTTCTCTGTTAAACGACGGTATTAATTCCAAATTTCATCGCAATAAGGAATATATAATGCCTACAACATTAAAAATTATTTAATATATTTATTATTATTTTCAGAAGTTGACTTGTTTTGAATTGTACATTATTGATAAGGGAGCGTATCCATTGTTTTACCATTTTTACCCCCCCTCCTTCGGTGATCACCCGTGGTATATGCCAAGACCCCATTCTCTTCTAGTTTTCAAGTAGTAATTCAAAAACATAGTTTTAAATAAATTTTTGCAAACAGAATGTTTTAAATATAACTAGAAAAAGCCCTAGAGGATATTGATTACGTGACAAAAACCTAAGCGCCCCCGCCCCTGCGACTAAGGGTGATATTTTAAAAAAAATACCTCCCGGGGAATGTCATGTAGTATCGGTACGTTCCCTAAACACTGTACGAAGAAAATTTCTTTCAGTGCCCGGAATTTCATATGCTAACATTGATTATGACGTAATTGTGAAAAGGCCTTCCAATTTATCTTTTGTTTCAGATTAGTGAATCAGTGCAGAACCCTCAAAGACAGTCCATTATACTAGCCTTTACGTCGACAAATTACATGAAACAACAAAGTAATTTTTCATTATTTTTACAATAATACGTTATACATTAGCCAACAAAATTCCTTTGTTTATAGCACCACTAATAAATTACAGTTTTTCTGGTAATTTTCCCACCCACACATTTAACAGGTAGTTAAAAGGAAATACAATTATTTCACATCAGTTACAGCAAATAAATCAAAATGATCTATTTCTCCAGCTTAGCTAGCCAAATGATCGTAAATGCATAGGTACTAAAAATGTGACGTAATAAAAAGTTCGTACTTTGTATTTTTACCCACATTTAATTAACAATTATTGTTAAAACTGTTTGTAATTTATAAACTCTACATTTCTTATTTTTAGAAAAGTAATAAAATGTTATTTTGCTACTGTAATTTGTTATTAACAACTTTAGAATGTATATGTAGCATATAAATACTTTAAACTAAAAATAAGTTTGAAGAAAATGGTGAACATCTCAAATTTTTATACTTTTTTCACAAGGAAATAAAAATATATTCCTAATGGTAAATAAATAATAATCTGTACACGGTAATAAAAGGTTTTATGTGAACGATATTATTTATAACCAAAATGCAATAAGAGGAAACTTTTAATTAAAAAAATTATCCTATGTTACCATTACTTTTATGTTGCATTCTGGTAAGTACTGTTTTGACATTCTGGTTTTTACACCAATTATATATACACTCTTTTAAAATGTAATGTAAAATAACCAGAAGCCACAATACACAGCGCGATATGTGATTTATGTATGTATGTCAGATAGGCCCAAGGCTTTCAAATATATTTAAGTGAGGTTACCTATGCAAATTGAGGATTCTACGTTAATAAGCAAGTACGAGGAAAATTTACACCATACGTTTCGTACAAATCAAAATTTCAAGTCTTTGAAATATGTACATGAACAATTTCTTCTATAGGGTTGTTCGGAAAGTCATTTGGTTTTTTTTTGTGGAAATGATAAGACAGTTTTCGTATAATAAACAAATACTTTATTAAATTATATATTGACCGTTCTGGTCCAACACCTTTTGCCATCTTTCTGGTAGTAACATAATTCCACGCTCATAAAATTTTTGGTCTTTGCTGGCAAAAAACTGATCGAGGAGGTTTTTGACCTCCTCATTTGAGGTGAAGGTTTTACCGTCTAAAAAGTTTTGGAGTGACCGGAACAAATAATAATCCGATGGTGCCAGGTCTGGAGAATATGGTGGGTGTAGCATTGTATCCCATTCAAGCTGTAAAAGCTTTTGGCGAGTGACCAAACTTGTGTGAGGTCTCGCGTTGTCTTGGTGAAACACTACACCTTTCCTGTTGATTAGTTCTGACCTTTTCTGTTGAAGTGCATCATTCAGTTTGTCCAGCTGATGACAGTAGACTTCCGAATTAATCGTTGTGTTATCCGGTAAAAGCTCAAAAAAAACGATTCCTTTAAAATCCCACCAAACAGACAGCATCACCTTTTTTTGGTGAATATCGGCTTTGGAAATGGTTTGAGCCGGTTCATCTTTTTTGCTCCATGACCTCTTGCGTTTGACGTTGTTGTATACAACCCATTTTTCGTCCCCAGTGATGATGCGCTTCAAAAACGGATCATTTTCGTGACGTTTGAGAAGCGAATCGCAGACGTCAATGCGGCGACACAGATTTCTCTCTGTGAGAACATGGGGAACCCATACATCGAGCTTCGAGGATAATCCCAGGCCTTTCAAGTGGTCATAAACTGTTGAATTTGATAAATTTAACCTCAATCCGATCTCACGTGTTGTTATTCGCCGGTTCACATCAACTAATGCCTTTATCGCGTCTTTATCAGCTTCAACCGGCCTTCCCGAACGTGGTGCATCTTCGACATCAAAATTGCCGGATCGAAATTTAGCGAACCAGTTCTGGCACTGGCGTACTGTCAACACACCTTCTCCATACACATCAGTCAATTTCTTTCTGGCTTGAACAGCATTTTTACCCTTTCTGTAGTAAAACAGTAAGATATGTCGAAAATGCTGCTTATCGCTCTCCATATTTAAAAGGGCACCAACCAAAAACTACTGCGTAGAATTAATTGGAATTTTTCACACACAAGCCTTGCTATATGAGCTCTCAAAGCATATAAAAATTATACGGCTTAAATGTGAAGTTGGGTGCAAAAGAATACAATTAAATCCTCTGTCGGGAAAAAACGAAATGACTTTCCGAACAACTCGATATTTAAATAAAATCAACATAAAATGCTTCTCAAGATTTTGAAATAGGCTTGTATTTCTTGAAAACCTTAAAATCGTGCTTCTTTTGTTCAAATAAAGCATTTGTTAATTTAATAATCAGCGTGTCGAAACTTCGTTTTCCCTCTCACACACCTGAGATCTACTTTTCTACGTTTCACTTTTATTCGATTGTTATTTCTGTAGGCAAATGCCAGAGTTCATAACGGATTCCAAACAGAGAATTTAAATACAAAATTCAAATAACAAGTTCATTCATACAAATTTAGTACAAAGAGGCCTCTTTCTACGTCCGCACACACGTTTTTGATAAATCGCAAACAAAAACGCTGAAACTGCAAGGAGTACAAGTCCTCACTTGTGTACATTACGGCCGGCTATTTCTCATTTTCATTTGCGTAATAAAGAGTCTCGGCAGATGTTTATCCGATACTGATGGCACCAGTTCTAACAAAAAGGCAAGAAAGAATAACAGAAGGAAAATACGTTTGTATATGTGTACATGCATATACAATATAAAGTGTGAATCTTTCCATTTGGTCGCGCGTTTGTCTTTAAATATTTACCGAAACGTAGAAAAACAAAGTGTCATCCAAGGTGTTGTATTTCAAACATCGGTAATCATTACTATTAGCGGAACTAGAGTTTACTGGCCCCGGGACGAATAACTAACTGTACGAACCTGAATTAAACCTGGTTTCCTGTTCAATTAGAACATTAATGATACTTAAAAAGCAGACATGTATGGACTAACGATTACAAAAGAATTTTCTCTCATAATGTATCATTCATAGATACTATCCTCATCGAATAAAATAATTCGAAGTGGTCTGTATTCTGTCGAAACTGCCAGACGCGGATCGCGATCTTTTTGGATCTCATCAGCGCGTCGCAGGCAGAACACAGACGAACTTTTACCCGCTGTCTTAACAGTGCGTTTTAGAAAATACTACAAATGGCGCGGTAAACGCCATCTACAGCACGATGCTACATTTTAGGATTACGTATGTTCCAACAAGATCTACTTGTGTGGATATCTACTTGCTGAAAAAGAATCCCGGCGTAGCCAACCTCAACGTGATAGGCACGTTAGCTTAATCGAATAAAATAATTCAAAGTGGCCTGTATTCTGTCGAAACTGCCAGACGCGGATCATGATTTCGATCTTCTTGGATCTCATCAGCGCGTCGCAGCCAGGATTCGTTTTCAGCAAGTAGATATCCACACAAGTGGACCTTGTTGGAGCATACGTAATCCTAAAATGTAGCATCGTGCTACAGAGGGCGTTTACTGCGCCATTTGTAGTATTTACTATCCTCATCAATCGAAACAAATTATTTTGTTATTGTTGAAGCAGGACAGTCGGTGTATAACTTATCCTAGCTTCTTCTGTACGCCAACTTAATATTATACAGCCAGTTGATGATTTTTATTTAATAAATTGTACACCTTTTTTTACTATTTCGAGGATCGGGACTTACTATTCACAATTAAAAATATGTACAACTAACTATTCCAACTTAAAAACTAAATTTAAATTTGAAATGTATTTGATCAAGAGAACCGTCCTTACTGATGTAATATAATTAATTTTATTTAAAAAATTTCGAATGTGTATTTAAATAATCAAGACAGAGAAGAACAATTTAAGATAGAAAGAGATAGAATTGGAAAGTAGTATGCGAAACTCGGCAACAAACAGCTACATTTCAGGTAAATATCATACAATGAACTCAGTTCTTAAATGAATTAAATGTTATAAGTGGAAAATACGGCCCTAATGTGATTTTAACGATGAGAGTCGGATAAACTTGAATATTTTGCTATTGTATTATAAACTCCAAAAGGTGATTCAAATTGTAATATGCACGATAATGTAAAATAAGATGAAAAGAATATGCAGTTACAACCAAACACAATTGAATATGATTAAAAATTATCGAATAATCTCTACCTACTTAAATCTGTAATAAAATAAAAACATAATTTTAACAAAGAAAAACGTTTCGGCGAATAGTTACGTTTTTATAGTCATTAACTATTACAATTATAACCTTGGCTATTTCCATAATTAAAAATTCAAAGTGGTAAAGAAATGGAAACTACTTATATGTATTTGATGCCTATATTTATATATGATAGGATTGTCTAGGCCCTAGGCTATCACAGCAAATGACATATCACTATGGCTGGATCCTTCGGGTCGAGAAGTTCAATGAAATAATAAAATAGCAAGAATAACTAAAATGATTCTTCTTCATCATCATTATCATCATGAAGATATTTAGCCTAAAAATTGATTGGCCATGCGAGTGCACTTCCTCCTATCTGCTCCAATCACAGAATTTCTCGAAAACTAGGGCATCCTGTACCCCTATTTGCGAACAGTAATCAAATTTAGGTCTACTTCTACCCACCACCACCGATGCGATAAATACAAATTTGGCTTTTTATGGCGTAGAAATATGAGGGTTGAAAAAAGTAACTGACAGTAAGTGTTTTTCATAAATATATAAAGTGGGTTTTGAATTTATACAGAGGTGTGCAGGATTATATTGTTAGAAGGGAAATAAAATGTATGGTATATACGAACACGCTAGAGGAAAGCAGAAAAGGGATGGCGATGGCCATGGAATTTATAAAATTTAAAGGAAGGTGATGTAATAATGGAAGTAAGGAGAAGGAGAATATTAAATATCGGGACCAAAAAATTGATATGACAAAGGCAATTTATGCTTAATCAGGAAAATCTGTATGGATGGGGCAGGATAAGTGTGGGGGTGTCGGAGAGATGGTGAGAAATACGTGAAATATATAAAGGCTCTTCCATGGAAGCATTGGCGGAGGGACTATGTACTGGGTATTTGAAGGTGAAAAGGGGAAGATAAGGAAATGAAAGTAGAAGATGTAAGTATTGGATCAAGAATGAAGAAAGGGTGTGTAGAATATGTGAAAGGGGTGATGGAGCGAGCATTGATGCATGATTTGGGAGAATGTGATGAAAGTCAAAATTTGGATGAATTAGAGATGAGTAAAACTGGACGAAAATGCAAGACCAAGGCCAAGAGTGAGACTATATCATCAAGACCAAGAATAAAACTAGAAGTATTTGAGCAAGACCAAGACCGAATAAGTAAGACCAATACCAATACTGGGACAGCCTAAGTATTGCTTTGCTCATTGCTAGGATAGATCTAGAGAAATTAATAAGTGACGGTGGAGATAGGATGATCGTTTTAAAAGAGATACTTAGTAAAACAAAAGTTTTGGTGAATAGAGAGGATTAAAACTATGCTTAAGTTTGTTTTTTGGAGTAAAAAGAAAAGAGCAATTTGTGTTTTTATGTCGATTTTAAGAATTATCCTTTTTGTTATAATAAAAGCTTGCTTATTTTTATATTGGGTGTTAAAATTTTGATTTTTGTGGATGCTGAATTGGTAGGATAATTTTGTTTTGTTTTCGAGAAAAGAAAGAGAATGAACAATATATTATTTACAGTCTTTTAGGAAGAAAGATCGGAAAATTTAAATTGCAATGTTAAAATGATAAATGTTTTAATAAAAGTGATACATATTTCAAGAAATTCATTAGAGTATTAAATTGCTTTTCATGTCGTTTATTTACTATTGGCGTTTATCAGGTTACGGTGCCATCAGATAAAATTAAATTAATCGCTCCTTAATCCAAAACACCCAGAAGGGATGACGTTCCAATTATTATTATAATTGCCACCCTAAATTGACGGAAATACCCTATTAAAGGTAGGCGTACCTATAAATTATTAAAAACTAATTACACGCACGGATTGCCATCAAACGCCATAAATTTCAATCAGTTGAGGAGTAAGACAAGAGCTCAAAGTCAAATCGTAATGACGCCAGTTTGCGTGTTCGGAGAAACGAACAATTCTAAGGAAAAGGAAACGTCGGTAAATTTATAGAGAATTCGGTGGAATTCGACTCTCGAACCAATTCTGAATAAAACATTAGTTAGCGCAATCACAGTCATGGGTTATTATTAAAAGTTTGGGGTACCTACGTCGATTTCCAATTTGTCAAATTGTGAAGAGAATAAATTAGATTTCATTGAAAGGGAGTAATATCTCTTCCTACACAAACGCACGAGATTTCGCTTTCAAAAGCTCCAATCGGATAAAAATAGTTGGACCTTTTTAAAATGAGCCTTCACAGTCTGATAATCAAATTACTGTTGAAGCGAGTTTATGGTAGACAAACGAGGAAAAAACCAGAATATCATCAAAAAATTTGCATTCGTTTCATGTGTACATTAATTAGGATGTCGCTTAGATTAGTCCAAAAAAATCTTTATGAATATGGTAGAAATTAACAAAACCTCTTTTCTTTTCGAATTTTTTCGGCATAAACAAATTAATCACACATATCAAAGAGAATAATAAAAACTGGGTAACGCCCAAGAGTACTTTTGACTTCAATTTTTCCAGAAATACAAATGTCAGACTACAGTTTAGTTTTTCTACAAAATTTACAAAACGCTCTCCACTATTTGCGTGAATTCGTAAGCAAGCTAAAAAGACACTTCTAAGTGTTCAATTCCCGCCAGCTAGTAATGCTGATGGGTGATGGGCGATACGGTTTCTGTACGTTGAAGCAAGAAGTCCACAGAATTTAAGCTTACTCGAGACGAAGAAGAGAAGGGTGGAGAACCCGAGAAATCTCAAAAATACGAGAATAAAAACAAAACTCGAAAACTATGAGAAGTCTTGTAAAAAGCAAAAAAAGTTGAAACGTTATATCAGAAATGAGAAACCGTTCCTCAGATGGGCAATAAAATGCTCTCATATTTTTGAAAACATATTTTAAAAATGGAATGGATGTCTATCAAAATAGTTCTACCGTTCTATCTCTCGGACTGCATCCAATAATCCTGATATTGTTTTTTTTTGTAAATTTTAACTTCCTCTGTTATATTTAAGACTGCAGTGCTGTAATAAGGCTCTAGTTTACTAGACTACTAGTAGAAAGTGCGGAAGACTCCCTTTTTCAGCCTTCCTTAAGGAACTGTGGAAACAGATAGGTGGATGACTGTGAAGCTGGCACACCCACATTACAAAATCTCATGAGAAGATTGCCATTACAAACAAAAATATCATTAATGTCCTGTAATTTTCGTCCCATTCCTATACCAAAAAAAAATATTCTATCCATTTTAGACCTCTATACTATACATTGAAAAACAATTTGGTGACAACCAGAAAATTACAGTGATTACTTATCATAATTTTATTTACAATGACAAGAAATTTTAATACTATAGCATATTTTTTAAATTATTGATTTATTTTAAGCATTTTCTGTGTAGATTTGACAGATGGATGTTCAAGGAAAGACTCCATAATTTTGCAACATATCCGATATAATTATGCATATTAGTAATAATTTTTCCATAAGCATTTAAAAAGCATACAACTATAGCGTACTTTTTTTTTTAGAAACAAATTCGTTTACTAAGACATTTTGTCACGGATGTACTACGTCAGCCTTCAGTAAATTTCATATAAGAAATAGAACACTAAAATTTTATTTAGCACACTAAATTATCACTAAAAAGACACTAAATTCCCCTGTGATTTGTTTTGCGATTTTGTGATGTGAAAGAACTTGCTTGACAAGAATGATAGATGGAAGTTGGGAAGAGACAGATAGGAATGAAATGAAGAGAAATGAAAGATTATCTGTGGACTATTACTATTTCAGCATTAGTCTATGTAATCTTAGAAAATCAGAGAAAAAAATTGCCGCTTGGTATAATATATTATCTACTATATATCTGCACCGAATAATCCAAAATTTCCTAATTTCCACACATTCAACACTGTTCTATGTGCTAAACTAATCTATAATATACGTAGGGATAATCAACTGCGATACAGCAATATGATGACAACATAAGCCATTTATTAACCTGTTTGGAATAAAACTCATTTAAGGGATCATATTTTGCTTAAAAATAATAAACATTTATGTTTTCGATTAAATATTATACAAGAACACCTCTTCCACGGAGATGAACAAGAAACATTAGGGGATGACATTGTTGTTTAACTTGTATTAATTTCAGTGCTCTAATTACAAAGCTCGCTATAGTAGTATAAGCGTATAAGGGACCCGTATAGTATTTCAAACATGAGGGGTTGACTTGCTAAAACGTACAGGTTCTTCAATTCAATTAAAATGAGTTTTAGCTGAAATGAAAGCTTTTGAAAACTTCATACTCCAAGCTGCCCTGATGATGAAAATGGAAATTTTTATTTTCGTAAAAATATTATCTATCAAAGTAAACACGTACAGAACAGAAAATTAAATCAACATTTTCAAAATACGGTTCACATTGCTAAATTCGCTGAAACGGACTTAAGAAACCTTTTTTTCCTTTAAAACAAACCTGTTAATTCGGAGTGAAATTAAAATTTCATTTAAATTTAAAATAAAATTGTTGTTAAACATTACTGGTTTCTTCAAATGTGAAACCTTTCAACAAACAACTAATTAATACAGAATTTTTTAAATTGATAACGTTAAGGGTAGTCACAACAGATTCTAAATTAAAATATAGTATGTAAGAGTGGATAATTATCACGTTTAAATCGTTCGTTTAACAAATTACCTAATTTTGTGTACCTACTCTTTCATTATTTTTTAATTAGATCATTATATGGTCGTCAATTTTAAGACTGAGCTTCTCTTCGCATTTATTAAAACTAGAACATCCCACATCCTTAACTATTTGCGAACAGTAATCTAATCTAGGTCTACCTCTACACCTTTTAACTCCTGTTTCTGATTCTAATATGTCTCTGACTGGACCTTCACGTCTCCTATCAACCTAACTCGCCTATTTTTTAGTAACTTCCATAGTCCTCTGTCGACGAAATTTTCGTAACTCTGATGAAATAAAATCCAAATACGTAGAAATATGCGAGATAGATTAGTAAAACCCTTTTCAAGCATAAGGGACTAGTCAGAGACATTATAAGCAGAAAAAGGAGTTAAGCGGGGCAGATATTGGATTACTGTCCGCAGTTTGGTTAGAAAAGGTTGCTGTAGTTTTCGACAAATGCCAAGATTGCCTCAAGATAGAAGTGAAATTGCGTCTCTAACCAGTTTTCGCACTAAAGACTTTTTAATGATGATACAATGCGTTCCTCAGATGGAAAGATTACAGCATATGGTGTCTTGGAATATAATTCTTTCAGGGATTTCAAAAAATATTTCCTTTCCTTACAGACGTATTGATTAGGTACTTTATAATAGATACAAGACGTTTATCACAATTTATTTAAATTGGGTAAAAATAAATAAAATCGACTTGTAAAGCGTAATTTATGAGAGCTTTCATTGTCAAAACCTTGATTTTCAAATGCAATTGGGTCTTCAAAGGCTAAATCATTTAAAGGATTTTGGGCTTATAGAATTTAAAGCTCATTTGATGAGGATTTACCCTACTTTACCATGATGAAATAATTACGTTTAGGCATAATTTTTGTATACAGGAAAATCAAAGGGAGTTCTTCACCATAATGCGCATTTGGACACCAAACCTATCTAATAGCTTTAAAAACATCTATTAAATTGTTATCTAAAGCTCATGAACTTATTTAATGAATATATAATATAAAGTATCAAATTTTTAGTAAACTACGGAAACGAAGTCGCATTACCTATTCGCAAATAACACAAACTCGTATTTTCCACATCAAATTTATTTATGATTGTTATTACACAGACATGTTTTAATATCATTCAGTTGATGTACAATTAACATCGAAGGGGAGGGATAT